TGGGGCAGCAGCAGTCATTCCCAAGAAAGAAAAGCAGAAGGTTGATTGCAGGTTTTTATATCTCCTTACCCCATATTTTGGAGAGGAAAGCCAGCTGTTTTAGAAAGGCATGAGTTACATAAAGGAAAGTGTGGAAGCTGTAGAGAATTCTGTGGGTGAGATAGAGTTTAGAGCCATTTTCAGAAATAGAAATAGAAACTAGAGAATCTTTATGACTAGCCAGCTGGCTGGTGGCAGAAGTGGGGCTAAGCCAGCCCCAGGCCTTCTTGTCTGCTCACCTATAAGTGTACATGTATTCCTGTGAGGGTGGATGAATTTTAGCTTTGAAGATGAGGCTTAAATCCAGTTATTTAAAAGTCGGAGTTTGTGATCACTAATGTACCAAAAGGATTCTTAAATGAAGGAATCTTCCTTTTTGAACAAAGTTTAAACTTCAGTATTTTTCTAGGGATAATAAATACTCAGTCTTAATTTGTTCTATTTGTTCTGAGATGTGTTTTTTTTTCCTTGGTGTGCTAAAGCCACAATTTGAGAATTTTGCTTTAAAAAAATTTTTTTTTTTCTGGTACTGGAAATCGAATTCAGAACCTTGCACTTGCCAGGCAGGCACGGTGTCACTGACCTACATCCCTGGCCCTTTAAAAAAAAAAATTATATTGAAGGCAAATCATTTCTTAAAATGATGTAGTGTGACCCTTTCACAGTAGTTGGTGTCTACTGTTCTGGCTGATACTGTGGGGTTTTGGGAGTTGGCTTTTCTCTGTATTATTTCTGAGGCAATAACCTTTAGGCCAGCCTTGCGCGTAAATACTCTATTGTCTACTGTTTATTTCTCTTTTTCTTTGCAAAGACCCTACTTGTATCACCCTGTTGTCCATTCTATACTTGGCCAGGTCTTAAGCTTCAGTGGAACTGACTCAGATGGCTGCTTCAGCAGTAAGAGAGAAGTCAGCTGTTTCTTCAAAAACAAAACAAATCAGGAACTTGCATACATGTACATCTTCTCCTCTCAAGTTCCATACTGGCTCTTCATGCTTGCCAAACACTTGTGACCTGTCTGTCAGGTACCAGGCCCTGTGCTAGTGTTAGAGATTCCAAGTTGAGTAATTCACAGGAACCCTGAGTCCTGTGAGATGAGACAGTTGAAAATAAAAGAATAGATGCAATGACCTGTTAAAGGTGCAGTCATAGTGAGAAAGAAGGGGGTGAGCATGGCGGGAAATGTCAGGGAAGGATTCCTTCTCATGATGGCCCTTGTGCAGAGCCCTTAAAGAGACTGCCTTCCTGGGAGGGGGCACAATCAGGATGTTTACTGAGTGTCAGTCGGTTTGTTGAGGGAGGAGATAGGTTGTCTATAGGAAAGACTTGCTACATTACCTTGATTTCTTTATTTGTCTATATGAATAGCTAATGTGGGTATAAAGTACAATGTCCAAGGAGACTAAAAGGGAATACATGTTGTGGAAACTGTTTTTCTCCTCTGTTAACCAACCACTTAGTTCCTCTCCTAAAGGCAATGGTTACTTACCAGTTTCTTATACATTATTCCAGACAGATTCTCAGGGCATACAGGTGTGTGTGTGGGTGGGTGGCATGTCCTTTAAAAATACAAGCATGCAGCCAGATGTGGTGGTACACACCTGTAATCCCCATTACTCTAATTAAGATAGTGATGTTAACTTTTATAGCTTTGAATGATACAAACAGCCCACTGTGACACACATGCTGTAGGTTCACCACCACTGCTCTAGGAGGGTGAGGCAGGAGGATAGAGAGTTCAAGCCCAATCTGGGCAACTTAGTGACTTAGTGAGACCCTATCTCAAAATGAAAAAGGGTTGGGGATGTAGCTCAGTGTTCTGAAGGCCCTGGGTTCCATTCTCGGTCTCTAGTCCCCAGCCCCTCCAAAAAACCCAAGCATCCAAATGATTTTCTTCATGTACTAGTTTTAGAAATTGCTCTATACTAGCACAGATTGAACTACTCTGTCTCTTTTAAAGCACTGCATTATATTCTGTTATATTGGGTTTACTTTTTGCTTAACCAAAGTCCCTTTGATGAATTTCTAGGTTGCCCCTGTCTTTTGCCTTTACAAACAATGTAGTGGATATCTTGCATATATCATTTCTGAGGACAGATTCTAGAAGTATAATTGACAAATCGGATAATATGTGCATTTTGGGGACAGAAATTATCAAGTTGCCCCCTGAAGAGGTATACATTTATTGTATAATATGAAATTTAAGAATCTTTATCCTTTGGCCACTGCTTCCCTACCCCTACCAGTTCTCTAAAATCCAGGGTGATCTGCCTAATGAATTTGGTCTTATAACTTCCCTACTTATCATCCTCATAAATACAACCTGGTTTTCAGGATAGCAGTTAAATTCCTCAGCTTAGCCTGCCCTGAGCCTCCTTCTATTTGGAACCTCTTTTTTTTCCTTCATTTCCTCCCTCCTTCCTTTCTCTCCTACACATTCTTTAGGACTCAGTTTAGCATTACTTCCTCTGGTAGTCTTTCCTGACTACCTGCATTTGTGCACAGAACATCTAAGCATCATCTCATCCATTCACCAATTAAATATGTGCTGGGCACAAGCTGTGGCGTGGAAATGCAAATGGCATTCCTGATGATCCAGTGTTGTTGCCTTTAGCGTTACCTAGTATGGCTGCATCTGAAACAACAGTACCACAGTACCCACTGTCAGTCTGTTATTAGCCATCTGGAGCCCTGGGCATACCCTTTAACTTCTTTGGATTTTGGTTCTGGCATCTGTCCATAAGAAGGTGGAGCTTGATGAGCTTGGAGACCACTGTTGCTTAGGTCTCATTGGTAATTAAAACAGCAACAGCAGTCATGTGTGGTGGTGCATATCTGTAATCTCATCACTCTGGGAGGCTGAGGCAGGAGGACTGTAAGTTTAAGCCCAGCCTGGCCAATTTAGCAACTCAATGAGACCCTGTCTCAAAATAATAAAAAAATAAATAAACTCAGTGCAAAGGCCAGTGTTCAATTCCCAGTAGCACCAAAACAAAACAAAAAGCAGCAGGGGTTACCGAGGACTTACAGAGGGCCAGGCACTTTGCTAACCCTACAAAGATAGTGTGATTACTATCCTTATTCCACAGATGGGGAAACTGAGGCTGAGAGATTCTGTGACAAGGTCACAGTAGGGGAAACATTTGAATCCAGGCATTCTGACTCTACATTCTCAGCTACATGAATGTATATACATTGACACACACAAAATTTTATGGACTGTTTGAGTCACTCACAGATAACCCCAGACCTCTCTGTGAAGCACCCTTTGAGCTTCAAAGTCTCAAGTTGGAATCTCATTTTGAGCTGGGGGCAGAATGTGCTACATCCACAATTATCTGAGAGAAGGGGATGAGGACCAATGGCTAGGTCTGTCCTTGGTCTTGCCTAATGATTGTTGAAGACCCATAGCTGCTTCTCTGACTGAGAGAATTCTGCTGCTGTTTGCAGTTGGCTCCCTAGAAGGGACATGGGTCTGCATCAGGGATTCAGATGCAGATTAAAATCATGTCTGGTTAATGTCTGGCAGAGTCTCAGGGGCATCCTTTATTAGGATTGTGGATGGCAGGCTCCCTTATCTGTGCACACAAAGCCTTATTAATAGAAAAGAGAGTGTGTGGAATTTTTAAAAAAGAGGTAATTTTATTTGGATTACCTGTTAAAAACTAGAATATATGAACAACTGACAAATGAAATCAAATAAGGTAACTAAAATATAGATCCACATTGTAATGTATCATCTATCCAGGTTCTTCCCTAAAGGCATTTAGAAAATAATTCTTCAAGTCTTGATCTGTGATTGTTTTTAGTTTTTATTTCATTTTATTATTATTATTATTTTTTGTATATTCTTTTATTGGTACATTTTAGATATACAATATAATGACATTCATCATTGGAAATTTGCACCTTTACATACTCTCTCGGTTCTTATTTTTTCCCCCTTCCCCTGCCCTCCCTTCAACCCCTCCACCCCTTGCTATTTACAAAGACTTTGTTTCCATTTTTTCATTTTATCATATTAATTCCATTTCCTATTTTCCTTTCCTCTACCCCTCCCACTTCCCCTTCCCCTTTGCCCCTTTTCTTCCTATTTCACATTATCTGTTATTCCTTTTAGTCCTTACTTACACTTTCAGTTTCTCACACTAGAGAAACTATTCGGTATTTACACATTGTTTTTAGTTTTTAAAGATATTAGCTTCTACTCTTCCGAAATCTCTTTGAACTTGAGTGGGTGGCAGGGCTAATTAGCAACTGTAGCCTGTTCTCTGCTTCCCATCAGTGTCAGGGACAGCAACAGAATGCAGGCTCTCTGGTCACAGGTGTGTCAGATGAGCCTTGATTAATCAAGCCATTTTTGAGATTCATTGCTGTGGAGTCAGATCCTTAGTGGCTCCTCCAGCCTCTGGCAAATTAGCAGGCTGGCTCCTCCTGCTGCATTCCTTCTCTAGGCAGTGTATTTCTGCCTTTAAGACATGTTCGCACGCATGCACGTGCACACACACACACATACACCCACACCGCCTTCGTTAGTTGAACTTGTTCTGAGTCCAGGTGGCAAAGGCAGAGCCTGACTTGGGTGTAGCAGCTCTGTGTCAACAGCTGCCTTGCTGGTGGAGCCTCTGAGGCCAGGGTGGGGCAGAGCTGGGCGGTCTTGGAAAGCTCCATCGTGCCCAGCCAATGTCCAGGTGAGCCTGAGCTGGCTCCTGGCTCTGTCACAAGCATCTGGCTCCTGGACGGGATGCTGATGGCAGCTAGCTACAGGCCTTGGCCTTTCTCCAGAAGGAGTGAAAAACCATTTCTGTGCTTGGCTCCTCCTGGAGACAAGGATTCAGTTGCTAGAATTCTTTCAACTTTGTATGGAATTGTTTTTTCTTTACCAAAATGCTTGCTTTTAATTAACTTATGGCCAGAGTTTTCACTTACTAAAGTCCTTGTTTTTTATTTATTTGTCATAGGTTTCTGCCCCGTGCTGGCTTTAGGATTCTTACGTCTGGATTTTAAATTTTGTCTTTTTAATAAAACTTGTACGGATAAAAGATGTGCCATGGCAGGATAGCACCAAAGAGCAGCTCAGTGTTTGTTGTGGCCTCCGTGGGACATGGAATGTTCCTTCCTCTGGTGATCCTTAGCACCCTGCTTGGAGACGGACTTGCTTCAGGTAAGTCCCAACCTGCCTTCTCTGTGTGGGAGGGAAAGGACTTCATATCATTGTTTCCTCCTGGAGCCTGGAGTAAGGGGCTCACTCTCCACCAGGTAGCTGCTGGAAGAGCAGAAGGAGTATGGGGTGGGTGTGTGTGCTGTCCTATGTGACAGTCAGTAGTATACAATAGTCTTTCTGGCAGCAGAGGCAAGTGTTGGAACCTGCTGGTGGTAACATTATCTCTCCTTCCCAGGCATCATCATCACCAGGTAGGACAGAGGCGTAGAATCCAGGCATAAGCCAGGGAAGAAGGTAGCTGTGGATTTAGACTGCCTGTTTGCAGAGCGCATTCCTATGCTGGCTCTGTGACCTTGAGCTAGTTGCTTTGTTGCTGTGAGCCTTAAGCCTCAGTTGCAGAGTGGGATAATAATAGTCCCCACCTCATAGGGTGGTTGTAAAGATTACCAGGATAATACAGTAAGCACTAGATGGTTTACTGTTTTTGGTTTGTCTCTTGTCTTTTTATTCTTTTTCTCAGAGTGAGTACATAGTTGAGGTATTTGTAATTTACCTGGTGACTACAGGCATGATCTTGAACGAGCTACTTAACCAGTCTGTGCCATAGTTTCTCTGACTATAAAATGGAAGGCATTGATCTGGATAATCTTTAAGGCCATTCACTTCTAGCTTCTTCAGTCTATACTTTCATGATTCTAAAGACTTTTTTTTTCCCCTGAGGTACTGGAGATTGAACCCAGGGCCTTCTCACTGAGCTACATTTTTTATTTTGAGACAGGATCTCATTAAATTGCTAAATGCTCAGGCTGGGATCCTCCTGCCTCAGCCTCCAAGAGTGTTGGGATTACCAGTGTGTGTCACTACATTGGGTGAATGATTCTTAGGACTTTCGGGTTGAAGGTGGTGATCTGGAGGATCCCTAACGGGCTGGAAATGTATCCATGAGCCATTTTGATTTTGTGTGGTCCTTGATGCCTTCAACACTACTCTGAAGACCCTCCTAAGTTTCTTCTTAGACCTGGCATCCTTGTCAGGAAGGGCATATTTGGGTGTTTCCATTAGGCCTTTGGGCAGTGTGCTAGTGCGCACCTCTGTATCTGTGAGTGCTAGTATCACTGAGCCTGATAGTAATGGTTCCCCTCCCAGACTTCATTAAAAGATAGATGTAGCTATTTCCTTGGGCAGTGTTCCCTGGGGGGGATCTCAGTGCTAGACTCTGAGAGGGGACTTGGTGGTGGTAGTGGGGAGTGGTGGGTTGTGACTGTAGAGTCCCCATGGCTCAGTCCTGTCTGTTTTAGTGACTTTTATCAGCTTCTACCACCTACACATGCAACATTGCCCAACACACGCAAGTAATAGTACAAGCTTATCTAATTTTATCTTTTTCATCTGAATTGGTGGGAGAAATGATTTGTCGATTTTTTTTTTAATGTTGCTGTTCCATCACAGCCTTCCCCATCGTATACATACCTCTTTTCTGCTGCCTCTCCATCCACCCTATTCTGACAATAAACCCAAACTTCGCCTCACTAGCGTGAGGAACTCCAGGACAACCCCCCAGGGTCATGGTGGTTGAGACCCCACAGTGGAGGCATCCTGGATATGCTGAAGTTTCAAGAGACAAAAAAGAACAGATTACACCAATGTGCAACAAAATGAAGCGGCGCACATGCTTATCGGGTCTCTCTAATGCCAGAGGAGACCTCTAGAACTGACAGTTACAAAACCATGAGTGTCAAGACTGTCTTGCTCACCACTGTACCTAGCTCTGGGATAGAAGTTGGCGAATTATGGCCCGCAGACCAAACCCTGCCTGCCATCTGCTTTTGTATGGCTTTTGTGCTAAACATTTATAATTTTAGCCGGATAAAAAAATATCAGAGGAATAATATTTCATGACACGTAGAAATTATATGAAATTCAAAGGTAAAGTTTGATTAGAACACAGCAATGCTCATTCTGCTGTTTGGCTACTTTTGTGATACAGTGCAGTGGCAAAGTTGAGTGGGTGTGACAAAGAATGTGTGTCCTGCAAACCCTAAAATATTTAAGCTTTCAAATGTTTAGCTTTTTACAGGAGGTTTGTCCCTCCTCCCCCAGCCCCAAACAAATGGTGCTCCTTAGGTGTGTGCAAGAATGGAACAACTATCCAAGTAGGAAGGAAGAGCTTGTCAGAGCCAGGTTAGACTTCAGAGGTCATACACTTGCCCAGGATCTTGCAGCTAATAGTAGGGCTGGGACCAGAAGCCAGCCTGGTTCTGGCACACTGCTGTGACCTGCCTCATGCAGGTTATTGTAGGAAAGCTGCCCTGGCATGTTAGGCAGCATTATTAGTGGTGGAAGATCAGAAGTCTTTAGCCTTGTTAGCTTCATTAAGCCATCCACCTACCCCCACCCTCCTTTTTGTTGGCTCCATGCTTTCCTCCTTTCATTCCCCACCCTATTTTCCATCTCCCACACCGTCCCAACTTTCCACCCAAGGTCTGAAATCAATTATGAGATTCCAGACTGGCTGGATAAAGGGATTATTATTCCCCAATATGGAAAAATGTGTCTCTTTGTAGTGTGGGCTGAGATTAGGATGGGAAAGTGGCTCTGTTGCCCCCCCCCACAAAGAATCCTCCTTCCCCTGCCATCCCAACCCCCCACAAGTCTTTTCTTCTCCCCCTAAAACGTGTACTGGCAGGGAGCAGAGTGTAGGCAGGAAGAGGGGTTTCACCATTACTTATATCCAGTGCACCAAATTATTGCCAGTGTTTTTCCCTCTCACTGGAGTGGCTTCTGGGGGAGGGAGGTGCCCATTCCTTGGCCCCAAACCCACAGCACACCTGTTTGTCTGTGTCCTCCATGAGCAGCATACCACACAAACTTGCCAGGAAACCTAGACTCTCAGATGCTCTGAAGCCAAGTGAAGATAGTTCTTTTGTAGAAAGGCCCCTTCCTCCCTTTCCTACATTTCTTACCAGTTCCTCTAGTTGCTCTTTAACACCCATCCCAGAGACTTTTGTTTTGTTCTTTGAGTCAGGGTCCCAATGTGTAATGTAGGCTGGCTGGACCTCACAGTGATCCTCCTGCCTCAGCCTCCTGAGTGCTGGGGTTACAGATTTGTGCCACACCTGGCCACAGACATTTTTAAATGGGGTACTTGTAAACTACACAGCCTTGTTAGCCAATGGGCTCTGGTAGACCCTAGATATGCTTGTGTGTCATATGCATTTGTGACTGTGAGAATCTTACTGGGCCATAGATAAATGGACTTCCTTGGGAGGCAGTTTGCAGGCATAGTCTGTGGGAATAAATACCACAGTCATGCTCCAGTCTTGTTCACATTCTCAGGTTGAGTAGGAAAGAATCTTGTATGAAGAAACACTTGATAGTTGGGATACAGTTCCCATACTCGTTTCTTTTTATCTTTTTATCTTCTTTTATTTGAAGTTACAGCAGAGGAGGTTAAGGCATTAACCAAGGGTCCAGCTTTCCTGTGCCTTTCCTTTAAATGGGGAGAATTACTGAAACGATTTCTTTTTAGGAGTGGCAAAAGGAAGCATATCTTATTCTTTACACCTTGTCACACCATGCTGTGGGAAGAACAGAATTAAAAATAAATATCTGCACATGCTACTGAACTTGCCTTTCTCGGAGAGAGATTAGGGTCCCAGGTGTGTAGCAGCCTCTCTCAGGTCTCAGCTCCTTTTCTCTGCCTGTGATCTTAAGAAACCTGCTGACTGACCTTAGGTAAATCACTTGACCTCTTCATGTCCTTTATAAAACAGAACAATCATCCTGAAGAATGTTAGGTTGGTGGTGTGTGTAGACTAATAAAAATGATTGGAGGGCACTTGGCATATAAAACGTGTGATGGCTGTGTGATGTAATTCACAAACAACAACTACTGCATGATACCTCCTGTGGAGTGTGACTCAACAGTACAGATGACATCCTTCACTATCATAAAAACAGAACATCTTCAGCATAGTCCCTGCTTGGGTTTGGGAGCGTTTAGAGACAGTCTTCCTATGATGCAGAGTGAATGAAGGATACACTGGCTGCTGACCTCAGTTTGACCAGTGAGGAAGGGTTGATTACTTTAGGAATCCCTTTTGCCTTCCAGAATGCTCGTGTTACATAGTGTGATGATTTCAACCCAGCTGCTTGCTGACTCGCATAAAAAGTTTTTGCTTTGCGCTCTCTGTCTTTCCTGAATGTGTTTACTGAACAAACTCAGTATTTTCTTTGTTTGTAATTTCTTTCCCCTTAAATGTTGCCATGACACTTGAGGCCATGTTAAACATCACTGCCACCTAGAGCAATTTTTAAATATCAGGGAAAGCTGCCATCTATATTTCTACACAACAGAACCAGAAAGCTGGGCACTTAAGTTTTCATTAAGATAGAAAATGCAGGTTTCCTGGGTGATGATGTAGCTTTGACCCTTAGCATTGCCATGGCAGAGAGATGTTGGCAGGCAGCCCTGGCTCACCTCACCATTTCTAAAGGGACCCAGCATCAGATAAAATAAACTGAGCTAAGGGGAGAAGACAGGAAACTGACACAGAAGAAGCATCATTTGTGTGTCATGTGCTCTACTGTTGCTATAAATAAAGCTACCATAACACATAGGCTAGGTGGTTGTGAAACCATTTTATAAGAGAAACTGAGTTAAAGAGATGCTAGTTTACTCGGAGACATGATTGTAAGTGGTGGAGTTGGCTGGGATTTAAGTCCAGTGTGTCTGACTCTACTGCCCATGGTCTTTGCTGAAACCATACTACCTGTTCTGAGAGGCAGGCATCCTTTAGATTCATTTCTTGTGTTTCTTAATTGAAGTGCTCAGAACAGGCTTCAATTCTAACAGAAGTAAAAAGGCCCTGTCCATGTTCTGTCCCTGTGGATAGAAAGGTTACAGGAGTCATTTCTGGGTTACCATGTTTCCCCCTGTGGTTGTTTCTGTTATTATTCACAATGGCCCTTGGTTGTTTGGTTACATTTTGGGTACAAGG